AAAATGGTCCAACCACTCTGGAAAGCAATATGGTGCTTCCTCAGAAGGTTGAAAATAGAAATACCTTATGATCCAGCAATTCCTCTACTTGGTATTTGCCCACAAGAAATACAAGCCATAACACGAGTAGATATATGCACACAACTGTTCATTGCAGCACTATTTATAATAGCAAGAAGATGGAGACAGCCTAAGTGCCCATCAACTGAAGAATGGACAAACAAACTGTGGTACATACACACACTGGAATGCTACGCTACCTTGAAGAATAAATAACAAGGAAGCTTCAAGCCACCGCATATCATGGATGAACCTTGAGGACATTATGCTGAGTGAAATTAGTAACAAAAGGAGAAATACTGCATAGGACCATTATTGTAAAATATTAAGAAAAAGAACCCATTAATGTAAAATATTAAGAAAAATATTTACATTATTGTAAAATATTAAGAAAAAGGGGGGGGGGAGGAATATTTGCTGATCACCAGTATGTATGGGATGAGGTGAGGGGAGGAAGAGGAAGATGGAGCACAGGGTAGGGAATACACACAGGCTAGCTTGGGTGTTGGGGAGTGGGGACAATACACAAGAGGAGGAGAGGAATGGACGAACAAGGCAGATGGGAGAACAGTCAGGCAGGTTTGCACGGGCTAAGTGGAACAGAGGTAAATAATGATATATGCACAACCCTGGAAAAACAGGGCTCTGGGATACAGGGATTGAGGCATTGTTTGAATGAGTAAAAGAAGGGAAATAATGTTAAGATGCTTGACTGTCTTTTGAATCTTGGTTTCCCTTGCCTACCATTGTAAAATAGACACTTGAGGGAGAGAGAAAGGAATAGCCAGAAACATCACAATAGAAAGCTTATGAGTCCATCTTCAGTCTATAACTGATTGGAAAACCTTAAAGGAGAACTTGCCCAGTGAAAGAGGCTTCCTATGGAGCCTCTGCATTGCATAAAATCATAGGTATAATCCTGTACCCTATCCAAAATCTTCTGAGGTGGGAAATTTCCACTTAAAAGGACAAGTAGATCAGCCTGGAGTGGCTAGAAGAACAGAAGATACTTCGTGAAAGAAAGACCAGCAGGAAAAATCAAAAACAATAATGGCAGTCTTATTGACTACTACAAGAACAAGCAAGCTGTTTGCCCAGGACCAATCAAGTTAAGTCATTGAGTCCCCTCAGAGCAAACCCCCTTCCAAGACTAAGACTCAAGGGGAATACACGAGCAGGCATGTGGTCTGGCTGGTGATTACATTGGTCACCAATAAGGGGAAGTGGGGGAAAAACAGCAATGAAGCCGTGAGCTAAGTCTAACCACTCCTGTGAACCCAGGTTGAGACCTGGTTGGCCAACAATATGGCAAAACCTGGGGACTCCTGTGCCCAGAGACAGTGACATGGCCACAGAAGACTAAAGCAGAGAGTGAAGCGTCCAGTTGATACGAAGTGAGGGGAGACGCACAGGAACACCCATACTTGCTGATAGTACCCACTTGACCTGGCTTCATTGGCTGGATGATCAGAACTCAACTAGAAGAAGAAAGAGAGGAAAAAAAGAGTAATCTGCTACAATTTGATGAACTTGACCTATACTTATGTAGTAGCTCAAAAGAGGGAATAAATCTTTACAGCGAGGTTCATTCCCACCCCCTCGGTACACAGGGTTGACAGGGATGTGAAACTAAGACATTGACTACCCAAAATGAGGGGACTACAAAGACAAGAAGTGACTGGCTTACAAGTTTTCAAGAGGGAGCCTAGATCCAGAGGGTGCAGGGGAAGGTAGACTCTCCACTGAGTGGTTTCCAATCTGTTGTGACGGGGCTGGTGAATGGAGAGGGGAATAAGACTCTTGTGGTACAATAGTGAATAATTGCTATCAGGAATAACTGTGAGGGTCAGAAATATAAAAGTAGATGTTTTGTAACAAAAGGAGGGCAGTGGTTGATTTTGCAGTCCAAGAGAGGAGGTCCCTGGGACCATCAAGTGAGAAGAGCGGAGAGCGGGACCCTACCCAAGGAAGCAGTGATGCCAGAAATGGAGGCAGAAATGATGACGTGGAGAGATGGAGTGGATGGGGACTCTGGACTGAGGGAAGGAGAGGGGTTGTGTGCTGATGTCCGGGGGCAGACTTGTGGGGTGTACCCTTTGGTTGTCTGATGATGTGTGAAGGGTATTGTAATCATTGCATGAAACGAAATACAATAGGATGAATGTAAAGCTGATGTTCTCCCATGTAAACTATCACATAATTCACAATAAAAACTTTTTTTAAAATGGAGGGTCAGCAAAAAAGAGGAAGAACCCCAGTGATATGGATTTACACAGTGGCAGCAACAATGGGCTCAAAGGTAACAACAATTGTTAGAATGCTGCAAGACCAGGGGTATATCATTCTGTTGTGCATAGGTTCGATATGAGTCAGAACCAACTTGATAACAACAAACACTACCAGGAGGATCTTAGCTCAGGAACCCTGGGTGCAAAGCACGCACTCTGCCCCTAGTTCTTCTGTCTTGGTAGGAATGAGGTTCCTCTTTTGCTGACTTCTGTCCCCTTTTATCTCTTATAATACAAAAGGTGTTTCCACATCTCAGGGAAACTCCCCTTACATAGGATCAGGCTTGTGACAGGATTAGGAATGGTGCATCCCATCCTAATGTCCTAATAGCTGATTGCCTTATCACATCAGATCATATCATGAGGGGTTATTATATCATTATGTAACTGTCAAACCTCTGATAAACACAGCCCAGCCAAGTTGACACAATATTTTTTGGGTACACAATTCAGTTTATGAACCAAACCTCTGATGTTACCTCCCTTTATCTTTATGTATTACACTGCTACAGAGAAATAATAGCGTGTTCTTATTGTTGTTGCTCTGTGCCATGAAATCTGTTCTAACTCATAGTGACCCTGTATCGGGTTTCCATAGTAGATTCCTAAATGTAACCTAATACACTAACTACATTAATAGGGTTCTCAAATTTTCATGATGATTTTTTTTTTCAAATACAGTATAGACCTATGTTTCTATTTTTTATTTTAGACTATTTAGGACAACTTGCTGCCTTCATTTCCTTGTTCCTTAATGACTGAATTCAGATAACTGGATTCAGAAAAAGAGTGAGAACTACATCAAAGACAGCAAGAAACATGTCCATATGTGATGAGGGGAATCGCCATGTTTAGAAGAAGATTAATGACCCAAAGAACAAAACCACCACTGTGACATGAAGTGAGAAAATGGAGAGGACCTTGGATAAACCACCTAACGAGTGTTTCTACACAGTGACCGAAATGAAATCATAAGAAATTATCAGTATAAAGAAGGAACCCACAAAGGTGAGTCCACTATTGGCTGTGACCATGAGTTCTAGTCTATAGGTCTCTGTGCAAGTAAGTTTAATGAGCTGAGGTAGGTCACAGAAAAAGCTCTTCAATATATTTTTGTTGTTGTTGTGTACCATCAAGTCAATTCCAACTCATAATGACTCTGTATAGGGTTTCCAAGGAAAGTCTGGTGAGCTTGAACCACCAACCTTTCGGTTCAAACCAACCTTACTGTCCAGCACATTAACCCACAGCACCACACCAGGGCTCCATTCACTATATCAACGCCACAGAAAGGCAAGTTTACAATAAAATCAAATTGGGTCACTGAGTGGTTAAGCCAAAGTTCCAGGCAGTAATCAAAATCAAAATGCACATTTGTGGACGCATGATGGTCAGTTAGTGGAGACACTTATATATGCTCAAAGGCCATAGCTATGAGAAGCACTATTTCTGAGTCCCTGGTTGCATGAATAAAGAAGATCTTAGCTATACAGCCCCAACAGGAAGTTGCTTTTTGTCTTCTTAAAAGGTCATGAATCATTATTGGGCCTGAAATAGAGCAAACAACCAAACTAAGTAAGGTTTAATTAGTGCCTATCCATCTGAACCAGAGTGTGGTGTCTCTATAGTATAAGTCCTGGACTTCGAACCACAAGATTGGCAGTTCGGGCCCATCAATCACTCTGTGGAAGAAAGATAAGACTTTCTGTTCCCATAAGGATTTACAGCCTCAGAAACCCTATACAGAGTCACTATGACTGAACCAATTCGACTACATCCTCAATATATTTAAGAGATTTTACTGTAATTTATAAGCTGAGTGCATAATCTCTTCATTGCCATCTTCATCTCTTTATTCCTGAAAGTGTAGATGAGTGGATTTAGAAAAGGAGTTATTACTGCATCAAAGATGGCAAGAAATTTATCCAACTGTGATGTGGGAAATGGCCACATATAGAAAAAGATCAAAGGCCCAAAAAACAAAACCACCACCATAACATGTGCTGACAGAGTAGAGAGGGCCTTGGATATACCACCTGGAGATTTTTTGTGTACAGTCACCAAAATAAAGATGTAAGAGATCATCAGAATTAAAAAAGAGGCTACAGAAATAAACCCACTATTGGCAGTAACCATGAATCCCAGTGTGTAATTCTCTATGCAAGCAAGTTTGATAAATCGAGGAAGGTCACAAAAAAAGCTATCCAATTCATTAGGACCACAGAAAGGTAAGTCTACAACAAAAGCCAACTGAGTCACTGAATGAATAAGGCCAATAATCCAGGAGGCAAATAAAAACAAAATGCACCTTCGTGGACTCATGATGGTCAGGTAGTGGAGGGGCTTACATATGGCCACATATCGGTCAAAGGCCATTGCTATGAGCAACACCATTTCCATGCCCCCAGCTGCGTGGATAAAGAAGATTTGAACTAGACAGCCTTCAAAAGAGATGGTTTTGCGCTCCCTGAAAAGGTCATAAATCATCTTAGGAGCTGTGGTTGAGCAAAATATCAGGTCAATGATGGAGAGGTTGGCCAGCAGGAAGTACATAGGAGATTGCAAATGAGGGTCAGAGTTCACAGTTAGCACAATGAGGAGGTTTCCCATCAGGCTTGCCACGTACATCACAGTGGAAAGGAGGAAAAGGAGAAGCTGGATTGCCCAGGAATTGGAAAGTCCCAAGAACACAAACTCAGTCACAATAGACTGGTTGGTTCCTTCCATTGCCTCTGTTGGCAGTGACAACTCTCATGCTACCTGAAAGAGGTAAACAAAGACAAACTCTGATTTAGGAGAAATAGCATTGAACTTAGCAAATTCACAGGCAATTCAATTGTCAGAAAATTAGGCTTTTTTTTTTTTTTGTATTTTGGGGTTTTTTGCATTTGAGACAATTTTAGTCACAAAGCAATTCATATTCCCCAGATTTATACCCTATTGCCAAGAACATACAGTGCAGAATATATTTTAAGACTTTTTTACTGATTTGGATGAATAGTTCTATTATGTTTTTAAGTGTCATTATTTCATGGTCACATCTCATGTATGGCCATAAGTAAAAAGGTATTTTTATAAATTATTTAACTATATGAAATACTTAAGTGACAGTGGATTTCATAACATGGGCATCCCTAAATATAATAACACCATTTCTATAATCACATTATCTACCATACTTACTCAACCTGTATGCTGAGCAAATAATAAGAGAAGCTGGGTTCTATGAAGAAAAACATGGCGTCATGATTGGAGGAAGACTCATTAACAGCCTGCAATATGCAGATGATACAACCTTGCTTGCTGAAAGTGAAGAGGACTTGAAACATTTACTGATGAAGATCAAAGAACACAGCCTTCAGTATGGATTGCATCTCAATGTCAAGAAAACAAAAATCCTCACCACTGGACCAATAAATAACATTCTTATCAACGGAGAAAAGATTGAAGTTGTCAAGGACTTCATTCTTCTTGGATCAACTATCAACACTCACGGAAACATCAGTCAAGAGATCAGACGACGTATTGCATTAGGAACAAATCTGCTGCACAGGAACTTTTTAAAGTGTTGAAGAGCAATGATGTCAGCTTGAGGACTAAGATGTGCCTGACACAAGCCATGGCATTTTCAATAACCTCATATGGATGCAAAAGCTGGACAGCGAATAAGGAAGATCATAGAAGAATTGATGCCTTTGAATTGCAGTGTTGGAGGAAAATACTGAAAGTGCCATGGACTGCCAAAAGAACCAATAGATCTGTTTTGGAAGAAGTGCAGCCAGAGTGCTCCTTGGAGGCCAGGATGGCTAAACTTCGTCTCTCAAACTTCAGACATACTGTCAGAAGGGAACAGTCGCTGGAGAAGGATATCATGTTTAGTAAGGTGGAGGGTCAGAGAAAAAGAGGAACACCCCAGAGAGATGGCTTGGCAAAATGGCAGCATCAATGGGCTCAAACGTGGCAACAAGTGTGAGGTTGGCCCAGGATCAGGCAGTGTTTTGTTCTGTTGTGCATAGGGTAGCTATGAGTCAGTACTGACTCGATGCCACCTAACAATAACAACTTGTATATACAAATACTGAGATTCATTAATAACCAAATAAATACATAGTACAAGATCAAAAACTATTATCTTGCCAATTTAGTATGTATTTCTACTAAATACAAGTACAGATTTAAATATTTGGCAAATTTCAGGGTTTTATGGGAAAAGTTCTATAACTAGTAGTAGAAGAGAAACTGATAAAATATTTTCTAATTTGTCAATCTCTTCCAAAATTGTGCATGCTTATATACTGTGACCCAGAAAGAAAAAAAAAAAAAAAAAACCAGCTATGTGTATATGTATATGAAAACAAAGTGGACAAAGAAACAGATGCAGTGATGTCTACTGAAACATGTTTAGATGAACAAAAGTCTGAAAATAACTTAAATATCACAAAATGGGACTAGTTAAATAATTAATCTCATATATCAGCCATGAAATAAGAATACTTTGCAATCATTTACAATACTAAGGTAGTCTAAATTCCCCTGCACTCACCTTATCCCACTTAGGTTTAAATTTATTCATTTAATTATATTTATAATTAAATATAGGGAAAATACCTATGTTGACACATACATATAGAAAACCACACAAAATAAAACCTGTTAACAATAATTATTTCTAAGGAGTGGGGTTGAGAAAGTTATAAGGAAGAATAAAAAGTTTACTTTTCACTTTTTTCCCTTAATTACTACCTTATATTTTTAGTTTCACTTTTACTAAAAGGCAAATGTATGTGGGTTTGAAAAATTATGCAATTTGTGTCCGCAGACATTCCTAGCTTCCAAAGATTAATCAGAATCTATTTCACAAATTAAAACAAAGATCAAAGCTACTCCCAAGATGTTCACTCACTTTGTTACTTCACTCTTCCCAAATTCCTATACTCGAAGCTATACGACTTTCTTTTCCCTGGCTATGCCTCTATACAAACCCTGAAGTATTTTGCCTCTGTCTTTACTTTCTTCACTTACCCTGCAATGCTCTTGTCTTACTTTTGTTGTTGTTGTTAAGTACTGTTGAATCAATTCTGTCTCGTAGCAGCCCTATATAAGGTTTCCAAGAAGCAATTGGTGGGTTTGAATCACAGACCTATAAGTATAGTTAGCAGTCCATTGCTTATCCTACAGTGCCACACAAGGACCCCCTTATTACACCTCTCTAAGTCTTCCTATCCTTCAACACCCTACCCTGAAAAACAACTTTCTCCATGAAGTCCTTCCTGATACCCTTACTCTAATATACAAGGTTGGGGAGTTAAAAAAGTTTGTGGGAAGTTGAATGAAAAGATAATCGAATTTTTCCATGAACTTTTGTACCCTTCGTATGGTACAAAATTAAATCAGTCATTGCTATCAAGTTGATTCCAATTCGTAACAACCCTATTGGAGACAGTAAAATGTCTCATCACATTTCCAACGTTGTAAATCTTCACAGGACTAGATGAAGATACATTTTACTTGTATTGTGATAATCAAACCAAGAAACACTAATAGCAATAGTGTTCTAATAGTAATCATCTATTCTCTTTCCTTTAAATGTGTTTGTAATTGTCTTTTCTATACTTTACCATGTTAATAGTATAAGTAATGCATCCATAAAGAACAATTTAGTTTATAATCAATTATGTTCCTTTCAACGTTGATTATATAACCACATTAATACTATTTATCAAAGCAGATGACTGAATTCTAAATTACTCTCCTGGAAGCTGTAAATTACTTTAGCAATACTCACAAGCCTCACTCAATTCCAAAACCTTTTTAATTTTTACACGTAAATCTTATTTAATTGTCAAAAAAATGACATTTTTATATATAAGATTTTCAAATTTTTTTAATGAAATATTTCTTGTGTTGGCAAAGAGTTGTACAGTCATTGTTGGTGCTACTGCTTCATGTTGTTGTTGTTGTTGTTAAGTATCGTGGAGTCAATTCCTACTCATAGTGACCCTACTGCAAATCTTTACAGGAGCAGAAAGCCTCATCTTTCTCCCGCAGAACAGCTGATAGTTTTGAACTGCTGACCCCGAAGTTAGCAGCCCGATTGGTAACCATTACGTTACCAGAGCTCCTTGAGTTAAAACCTACTAAACAGCAATTAAAATGACAACATATTTCTAAACTTTAGAGTTACTAACAAAGGTTGGCTGCGACTTGATCTTACTGGGAAATAATACAATTTGCAGAAACATTTCAAAATCCGATCACTAAATTGTTCTTACTAATATGGCTAAAATGAATTCAGAATACTATTCATACTACTGGAAAATGGTACAAAAGTGAGCTTTGGAGCTGCATGCTCCCCAAACAGTTGTTTTCACTGCTCTGAATGCAGCTAACCCTGAAGAAGGCTGTCATCACTGACAATTGATGGTATGGTGGTGACTGGAATAAAAGATTTCTAGTGACTGAAAAAAGGGAGCTCTGGTTGCATAGTAGTTACGAATTGGCTGCGAACCGCAAGGTCAGCAGTTCAAAACTACCAGCTGTTCCGAGGGAGAAAGATGAGGCTTTCTGCTCCCTTAAAGATTTACAGCCTCAGAAATTCTGTACAGGGTCGCTATGAGTTGGTTCCGACTCCACGGCACATAACCACCAACCACCACCAGTGTCTAAAAAAGTCTTTATTTAAGGAAAGCAGGGTATATAGAGGGCAAATATCTATCCTGAATTTAAAGAACAAGTTGGTGGCAAATCCAGAATATGCTTGACCGTTAAACCTTGACCCTGTCAGTCCAGGTATTTCCCCTCCACCATAATTCTTTAGGAGTCCGGGTGTGGCTCTGTGGGTTAATGTGCCAGACTGCAAAGCCGTTTGAACTGCAAGGTCGGTGGTTCAAGCTCACCAGCCTCTCCTTGGAAATCCTATATAGGGTCGCTATGGGTTGGAACCGACTCGACAGCACTTCACAACAACAACATAATTCTTTTGGTTTGATTATCCAAACTTTGTATTTTGTTGTATTATTCAGTCTTCGTATTTAGCCTCATTCAGAAAATCAAAATCTGTCAAAGGAAATTTCTTCAGCATTGTCCAAAATTTTTCACAAGTTACTTTCAAAGGATTCAAATGTTCTGCTTTTATTTTATCCTTTGCCTGGTGACCCACATTCAAGAGACCTGTGTAAGTGTCACTACAAAACCTATCTAAGCCTGAAATTGGAGTCAGTCCACTCATCCAGCTGTGTCCTATATTTGATTGTGAGTTTGCTCTGCAGCAATCTTCTTGTTGATTGGCAAAACTGATGCGTTTTTCGGGTTGGTTAGATTCCTTTCTCCCTCTCTATATGTTTCCACTTGAAATTCTATCTCCATCAAAGACAGATTTTATCCATCTAACATACCTGAGGCTAGACCACAGAATGCTCAAATCATGGAGTCAGATGGAGGATTACAGAATGCAAAGTGCTTGCTTTTGAAATGTCCTTTCTACCTAGAATAAAAAACTATATATATATATATATATACAGGTAATTCCGCCACAGTGAGAAAAGCAGCTAATTAGCAGCACTCAAAAGTAAGTGATCTAAATACTTCTACAGAGACCTGGGATTGTCATTCTAAGTACATTTTCCCAAGGGAATGGTTTTCTAGGATCACAGAAATTTTCCTAGAGTGAAAAAGAAAATAGGGAGTAACAGTTCATTTCAGGGGAAAGGAGGAAGGGAGACTAAAATTTTTGTTTTCATTTT